CAAAACCCCAAAACCCCAAAACCCCAAAACCCCAAAACCCCAAAACCCCAAATTACTGATCGAATAGAATAGATGCAAATAATAATAAAAGAAATTGGAAGAATATCAGGGCATCATAAATGATATCTACAAAAAAGGAAGTTGAAAAATAATTATGAAAAAGTTAATGGACTTAGCCTATTAGATTAATATGATTATCATTAACATACAAATTCACCTAGAGGTAAAATAATCTTGGATTAGTGAATTATTTAACTATATTTCCATTTTCAGGATGCTTTAGTGTTCAAAATATGCTGCACTTGCATGAAAAAGCACTTTCCTCAGCTTCAAATGGAGCATTGTATTATTTCCAACTCTCGACTTCAAATATTTGTTCTAGCTTTTCACCTTTCTCTATCTAATCTCTAAATGTGAGCTTATGTTACTTCTCACCAATCTTAATCAAATTTCCAAGTCTATCTCTTCGCGGGCCTATCTAGACAGGATTAACCAACTGCTAATTATTTACCTTAATTTACTTTACCCACAGCCCCTAGCGCTGATGTTTGAAGTTACTGATTGAAAGGCATTGTCATGCTATCATCCTGAGGATTCATAGAGAACTTAGGACCAGTATCTGAGGTAAAACCCAGTGCTTATAATTTAGGGTTGTTTCTGCGGACTCTCTCATCAGTCTATTCAACCACCTTCTGCTAAACAGCTGATTTATTGAGCTCGTTGAGAGACGGTAAATACATATTTGTTTGTTGATAAATTTGATCTATTAAAATTATTAATGTTACAATTAATCGCTCTTTCAATTTGCTTAAAAATATTTTATTTATTGAAATTACGAACAAAAACTATATAAATTAAATAATGGATCTCGGAATAAGTAAACAATTCACATATTTAATCTTTTGCATTTCAATTTATTTAATTCATATTTATAGAGCAGAAGAAGAAGGGAGGTAAGAAGAAGAAGAACTCAGGCCAGCTGAACCCAGGTGTTCTTAACTAGCAAGCACTGTCAGCAGGCGAGAAGTTTCTGACCCCAAGTATCGAGTATTACAAGAACGTTGCAAATTAGTATAAGAAAACTCTCAGCACTCTCAGCATCAATCAGCCTGGAAGTAATAAACCTGATTCAGCAGCAAGTTCTAGCAAGCCTCTGGCAACGATTAATGAGAACTCTAATGGCAGGAACGAGCAACCATACATGATGTAGCATTAGAAAGATATGAGGAGCAGTATGAATAATCTACACCATAGAGGCGATTAAGAAAAAGGTACTGGCAGTGGACATATGTTGCCACCACAGCAACTTCATAATGAGTATTCAACTTAGAGTATTCTGAAGAATGCAAAGACTGAGAAGCTTATGCTGGACATTGAGCAGTATATTGTAAAAACTAAGAAGGAATTCAATCATGAAGTTCAGGCTAAGGAGGAGATAAATCAGTATTTCGGAAAGATGAACGAGTGTATTGATTAGATTGTAGACAAGGTAGCTAGTTCAGTGAATCATCACCGCAAGGACTTCTTCGACCGATTCAACGGAGAACTCTATAACATTCACTCGAACTATAGAGAGCTGCAGGAGTCTACCAACGAGAATTTGAACAAGATGAAGCTGAAGAAGGAGATTCTAGACAGACAAGCTGAGAGAGATTGGTTTAAAAACGAATGCAACAAGATCGACGCCAAATGCCATGAGAAGCAAGATGAACTATACAGGTTCAAGGACAAGCATAACGAATTCCTGTAAGAAAAGAAGTTCCTTGATGAGCAGATTCTAACTGCAAGAGAGAATAAAATAAACTTGAATCGTAGAAAAGAAGAACTATTAGAAGAGCTAAATGAACTCAAAGAAGGGGGCCAGCCAGATAACCAGATCTAAGGATTCGCAGATAATGGGGCTAATCCTAGTAACACAAGCAGAGCATTATAGTTGTTGCCATAAACCAGAAGTCCCAGAAGAACCGATAAAGATGATCCTAACTACTTTGAAAATTCAGTGAAGAAACTCAAAGACTACATTGCTCACTTGTAGAAACGCAATGAGATCGAAAGGAAAAATGCATTGTAAGAGATTGATGGTTTATATTTCTTGATTATAGGAAAAAACAGATTATGAGTGATAAACTAGAAGACTCTAACTATCCATTTGAACTGATATTCCATGACTCAGTCTTGCAGATCAAGGAAGAGATAGTTGAGCGTAAACATAAAACTCAAAGAAGAGGCATGAACACTTCAAAGAGTGCTTTGAGTATCAGAATGGGCCAGGAAATAACCAAGACTCCAGAGGACTTGCAAGATCACTTCCAGCACAAATCAATCTTCAATAAATTCGACTTAGAAATAGATCATGTCAAGCCAACTAATTTCACTGAGAGTGACAAAAAGCGAGTGGTAGAGAACTTCCTCGGCAACGTTGAAGTCCAGTATTTTATATATGGACTACTCTTCCCTTAGTCGCTTATGAATATGCAGGCATAGCAATAGTCTATGTAACTAGATGATAATTCTTAATGATTTAATTGAAATTATAAAAATTAATAATTCTGAATACTTCTAATCAAATCTTTATAAAGGGGTTTTGGGGTTTTGGGG